CATGCTTCACTCATGAAAGAATGCGTGCAAGTGATGTTATCAGGGAGCTAAATTCCATCAAAATTGTTTTTTCCCATTATTATACAAATCCAACATTGCACATGAAAAATATATATTCCGTCAACAATGCAAAGTGATGACATTTAGGAAAACAAACTATGTTTTGACATTTTGCTTCAATTCAATACTTGATTCATTATGTTCTTATTGGTTCGCTTATTATTTGACTACAATATGGTAATTAACCGGTTTTTGGAAGATATAATAGAAACCATTTCTATTGTTCTCAAATTTTATTGCTCTTTTTTTCTATGAAAGTATAATGAGCTTGATTGTAATTTTACCTATTATATTTTATGATTGCTGCACCTCATTTCTAGATTTATTGTTGCAGTAACGGAACCATGTCTGTTGGATTCCCTACAAATAATCGAATTGTGGTTGCGATGAGCCTAAATTTGTTAGCTTAGGCATGTTTAATTATTTCGTGGTCATATGTGATATGTGTGCACTTGAGAGGAGAGCTTCCTTTTTGTTTTTAATCATATGTTTAGACATGTTAAAAATATTTTTATGTGTGAATGTTTTAAGATTATTAAAAAATGCAAATTAAATCCATGCAGATTAATTGATGCGTCGTATTGTATGTCTGGAAAGCGACACGCGATTAAATTTACTGAATTCAATTATGACATTTGAATTCACTAATGAAAGATGATAATGATACTCCGCGAACCTCATTTTAATACAATGATGTTTACTGTATAGGCATTATGTTTAATATATATTATATTGAAAATTTTTAAGAAGAATTCTAATGACATTTTTGAAGAAAATTTCTGCCAATTAAGCGGACATATCAACCCTAACTAGAAGCTTCTTCCCTGTGCGATGCAAAGGATGACACATATTAAAATGGTTGATACTACTGAAAAATATTTTATTATATTCTTCCTCTTCTATTGTAAAGAAAATTCATCTTTTGTTATTAGTTTTTGAAAATATGATTTTCTTATATGTGATTTGGACAATAAAGTATAAGATTTAAGCATCTAAAGTGTTGACGATTTTACTAAATACTGATTTCACATAAATTTTTTTAGTAAAACTACCTATAATATTATTCTCCCTAATGAAACATCAATGTTTAGTTCCAAAGAAATGTGAAAGGTGTAGCCACAATTATTGTGTCATTAAAATAATTAAATTCACAAAGATACAAAACAAAGAGGTTAAGTGTTAGTTTCAAGATAACGTATATTACATAAAGCAGACGTTAAGAAATTCCATGAATAATTTGTTTGTGAAACTCCCTTTGCATTTTTTCCTAATAGCATTTATAGTGACCCTCTACTATTAGTTTCGTACTATTAAGTATCAATTGAATAGCCATTTAATTGCTTAACCCAACCCGTTTTGACATCATCGGGTATTACAAGATTTCATAATAAAAGTAGATTTGTTTTAAGGAAAATTACATTGAGATTTTAAGAAAGGAATAAAATTACCCCCAAAAAAAACAATGACAAGTGAGCACATTTTGTGTGAAGACAAATGCAAAAGTTTCAATTCTCGGAGGCAGATAATTAATTTTATATTTTTTATTTGGTTTCTTTTGATCCAGACATCCGGATTCGGTTCTTCATCTAGCACTGCGCTGTCACCAATCTCTACAGTTCCTTATTCTCCCCCTCATTCTTGCTCTCTTTTTCTATCACTAAAACCCCATTTGAAATCACGATTAAACGCTATAAACACGTTTTATATAAAATTTTCTCACATATTTATTTGTATCTAGTAAATCACGATTAAAAAATTACTTATAATAAACCATTTTAAATATGCCTTAAAATGAGAGCTTGTTTGAGACAGCTAGATGGGAGGAAAAAGAAGGAGACCAACGCTTAAACTCATTATTATTTATTACGGTAAATTTTGACACTTCTAATAGCAAAGACTAAGAGATTTAACAGCAGAAAAGAAAAAGGAAAAAGAATCCAAGAACCTGATTTAAAATGTATTTGTTTATGAAATATCTTAGTATTGTACACCTTTAATTCCCCCCCCCCCCGAAAACATTGTGTAATTTTACATAATTTATTACCTAATTTTCTTAATTTATAGAAATACAACTAATTTAATTATCACTTGCCACCTCTCAATATTCCCAGTCTTTATAACGGTCAATGATGTTCGTCCTTGTTCTCAGTTTAAAAAATTGATAGACAAGGATTTCGTACTATAGAAATAATTATGTCAAAAGAATTTTGTCTAATACATTATAAAAAAGTCATTTTTTAATTGATTATGGTTTTTTTCCCCAAACGCCGTCTGCATGTTTTGGATGATGATGAAACCGATTATATATTATAATGCATTTTATGCGCCACTTGTTCTAAGTGGGAGCTAAATTTCAATGGTCAGCTTTTCAATATACGAATAAAAAAGGGAATAAAAAAAAAGTCTTGGCTAAACTTGATTAACCCACTAATTAACAAATTAAGTCATAATTGAATTGAGAATAATTCAACGCTAATATTGAACAAGTTAAGAATAACGTGTCCCCACACTGTCAATTGCCCAAATCACAATAGCAGGATCCAATGCTTATAACTATTGGTTACACTGTCAATTACCCAAATCACAATAGCAAGATCCAATGCTTATAACTATTGGTGGTAGGTAAAAATTTGAGGTCTTGACAAATTTGGGGTCCACCCATCGAATGAACTTTGAGGTTGCTTTTTCTTTTGTATTTTGTATTTTTTTATTTTTATTTCAAAGTTAAATCCGACATGGAAATTCGTTTTTTTTAAGAAAAACAAATTCTTTAATTTTTGTTAGAAATTTCGTCTTTGATTCCCGACGGAACCTACGTGAAAGCTCATTTCAATCAAATTTATTACAAAACGTTGACGTTTCTTAGCGTACCGATAATGATCAAAATCTTCATTTTGCTCACAATACCCATCCTTTTAAGTGTCAAGCACCGTATCCGTCATGACCAGAACCAGCATATATCTGTATTGTTGGTAAACGACATACTCTTATTGTTGACAGTTGATGAACTCATACCTGCACTCTTTATCTGTATATCATCGGGAGATTTCTTCACTTTGTTATTGCTACGCATATCGAGGATGGTTGTCATATTTTAGTGACACCCCCTACAGACACACTCTGTAACCCATGTTTATAACTAAGTAACATTGTATAAAGGTTTCCGAGTTTAGGGCGCGTTTAATTGGCGGCCATATAGCTTTTTAGAGTTACCGTATGTTTGGCCATCTCAAAAAGGCTTACCGGCATACGGAGTGAAGTGGGAACCAGGCTTGATACTCATTGATGTGAAATGGGAAGGTGCGGAAGAGAGGGAGGGATGCAGGAGTTCTTTTATTCAATCAAATCACATGAGACCTCGTTTGTAAACTACAAACGAGGTCTTATAATTTAGACTGAAGGTAGTACCAAAAACACTAGCTTTATTTATAGATATTAAGAAATAATAAATAACAGAATAAAATACGATAACCACACTTCTATTTTATCTCAATTGTAGAAACCTCCTGTCTATTTTGAAAACACATATAAACATCCTTTATAATTAAAATGTATGTTACACAAATATCCCTCTTATATTTAATATTTAATTTCCATCCACCCAAACCGTCAATTAACCTTTAAGTTTGACTTTAATTTTTTTTAAATCAAAATACCCCTTTTTAACTTAATAATTATTTAGACATTTATATTTTTCAAAAAAATTTATAAAATAAAAAATAATTCTAATACGTATATTTTTTAAAATTTTTAATATGTTATAAAATTTATTAATTTTGGTCTAAATCAAAAAATTTTATAATTTCAATATTTTATCACATTCATTGGAAATTATTTACTTTGATTTCTTTTAAATTAAAAACATATTTCAAATATAGTTTTTATTTATCATAAAGTTTAAATAATATAAGTTTGAAAGATTTCATAAATTATTTAAATTTATAATTTAAAATTTTTAAACGCATCTTTGTTACAAAAATTTATAAACATGTTTAGTCAAAGTATATATATATTTATTGAAAATATCAGTTGAATTTTTAATCAAGTCTTTTATGTTTGCGAATGAAATTCATGTAATTGTAAAAATATAATTTAGGAATTTATTAGAATAAGGGGTAAAATGGTAAGCTAAAAAAAAGTAAAATTTATTTTAATATAAATTTCAGTTAAAAATAATATTTTTAGAATCTTTTTAGAATATTTCTAAAGGCGTTAACTAATTGGACCAAATTGTATAGTTTTAAAATAGAAGGAAAGTCTTTGTAATTGATGTAAACTAGAAGGGTAGTCAGAGTATTTTATTCTAAATAATATTTTAAATTCAAATTCAAATCTAAATCAAATACTAAGTCTTATAGATTAAAAAAAAACAAAGATAATTCTAAGATATTCTATTTTATTGAGATAATACAAATATCAAAAAATGAATAATTAAATAAATCCTTATTCTGATGAATGAATATATTCAAAATCCCTAATGTATAATCCTAGATGCTTCATTAAACCCTAATTATACTTCAAGTCATGTCATATCGTCTGTCTACATATAATGACAAAATTATTACAAAGGACATGGTCCACTTTTTTTTTTTTGGGTGAAAAGGACATGGTCCACGTGCGTAGGTATGATTGTCACTAATTCATTTTCGCGCAGGTATACATAAAAAATTGATGCTGATTTGATTTGCCCGCTGCTTACGATGGTACATGGCAGCATTTTCCTCCTATTCGCACACCTTGCACGCTTTCTCCCTCACCCTCGGGCTCCTCGTTGCTTTACCAGACGCGTGTACTTGACATGGGCCCTTACGCAGAGGCCTCCTTTTGGGCCCGGTTCCCGTGTGATCATACATGCGGTCCTATATAAAGGCATGCCCGCAGGTTGTTTCAGCATCCTCGATCAGTAAAATAACTAGCGCCACACAAAACTAATGAAACAAATGGCTCTCAGAATTACTGAACTGTCTTGCGTTGTATTTCTAGTCTCACTCATAGGCTTCGCTGCTGCAATGGCCACAACTGTAAGTAATCGCTCTCTTTCTCTTATGCAGATCCATTATTATTATTGTAAGCTTTTCCTTCTACTTAGTTTTTTGTGTGCTTTTGTTCATGTGCATGCATGCAGGATGAAAAGTGCTGCCAGTACAATGTGAGCGTTAAGACAGGAGATGTCAATAATGCAGGAACGGACTCCACCATTAGCCTCAAGTTAAAGTCCTCTTCCGGCGATAGTTTTACCATCGCCAACCTCGAAGATTGGGGCGCAATGGAACCCGGTCACAACTACTTCGAGAGGGGCAACCTTGACTTCTTCAAGGGCGCTAGCAATTGCCTCAATGTTTGCGCCATCACCGTCACCTCCAACGGCGCAGGGATCAAGCCGGGGTGGTACTTGGAATACGTAAACGTCACCGTCAGTGGCGACATATCTAAGAACATACCGTTCCCGGTGAACCGGTGGCTGGCTGAAGACGAACCGCCCTGTACGCTCTCTGCCACCGTCAACTTATGCTGCAGCTGCAGCTTTTATCCTTTGAAGTCCACTCTGTTTTCTGTGTGAGGGAGTAACGGTAACAGATATCTGGCTTTTGCTGGTGTGTTACGTTACGTTACGTTGTTGGGTGTTATGTAATGTTTGTCTGTCATATGTGTCTCGTCTTAATATTAATAATTGCGACCTCTCTCTCGGGTTATTTGTAATTTACAAATAATAAATAGGCCCTGAGGTCGCAGTATGTATCTGGCTTTTGATGGTGAGCTGTGTTACGTTGGGTGTTGCGTAATAATATACGTTTACTATAATGTTATGCCTTGGCCCTGGTGTCTCAGATAAACTCTTTCTTTTTCAAGTTTCATTATTATTAGTTTGTTTTGTTTAAGGAAACTAAAAACTTGAAGAATAAAAAGCATAAAAGGACAACGTTTTTTTTAAAGAAAAAATTAACTTGAGAATCCTTATACCCAGTTTTGAATAAGGTCCTAAGGTTTTTTTTTTTGGGAGATACTTTAACTTTCTATCATTAAATCCATTGGTCCTTCCGTTGAAATTCCGTTTAAAAATACTAAGATAACCTTTAGTACGTCTTCTCCTTCTCTCTCCTACCATGAACCTTTTCATTTATCTGGACTTCCTAATCGAAGAGGCATAAACCTTTTCAAGGTCCACTCTCTTGCTGAAGAATTGATCTTTCCACATGTACCCTCCACCATCGTACATCATAAACTCCATCATCGTTAACGGGATCCACCTGTTTACTACATGAATGCAGCTGGCAGCCTCTGCTGCAATGACACATGCAGCCGCACCAATCTCCTCGACCCAATCTTATTTCTGATGTGTACACATCACTTTAAGCTGTTAGTGGAACTAACAATTTTACTTGTAATTTTTTATATTTATTTAAAATCACACTTTTCCTTTTACTCATGTTAATAGTTAAAATTAACAATTTTGGTTGCTTTTATCAAATTATTAACCATGTTCACACAAATTAATCAAATTATAATTATAATTATATCAACAAAAAAGACTGAAAAATTGGGTGAGATTGCATCAAATCTAAAGATCATAGTAAAATTGTACCACTAAAAAGATTAGGGTGCTTAATCCACTTTTACCCATATTTTTATGTTTAATAAGTAAATTGTTGAAATTTATTAATTAACTGCAAAATTTTGTCCAAATTGAGTTGTTTAATTTTTTAAGAAAAGAATGTGGGAACTCGTTGAACTATTATATATATGTGATGGAAATAACTGACAGGAAAGGATCATAATTTCTGCTGAAACAAACAAGACTACAATAGAATGAAATTAAGGGGACATCATTACTGAACTGAAGAGATGATATTCATATTATTAAGATTTTTCTTATGATTAAGCAAGAAGCTCAAGAAATTATGCAAACGATAGCCATAAGTTCACCGTGGCCGGAAACCCTAAACCTAGCCAATTGTTCACCGGCAAGCCTTCCTTGGTCTTTATTTTAGGTCCGGTGACGATGATTTCCATGAATTCCAAGTGCCACTCTGGCCTGCTCCCTTGCCCGCCGATGGAGACCACAGCCATAAGTTCACTCTGGCCGGAAACGCTAAACCTAGCCAATTGTTCACCGGGAAGCCTTCCTTGGCATTTATTTTAAGTTCGGTGACGGTGATTTGCATGAATTCCAATTGCCACTGTGGCTTGCGTCCTTGGCCGTCGATGGAGACGAAGACGGAGCAAGATTTGAGGCAAACGTTGCCGTTGCTTCTTGTTGACGGAGTCGAATATCTGCAATTTGATGACGGAATCCGTTCTTGAATATAATCTTCGTCCCAGCTTGTCTGAACTTTGGTAAGGCAACGGCACTTGTCCTCCTGCTCCATTCATGCATGAAGTCCCATTTGGAACAATATCAATTCCTTCTTTATTCATATTTATTATTATTTTCTCAAACTACCACTATATTTAGATTATTGTATCATGTATCAACAATGTTGATAATACTTCAGAAATGTCACAAAATGATAATTATTATTTTAAAGGACTAGATCACACAACTAATTAGGTCCTGAGCTTGCATTTTGCATGAAAATTAACATACGCCTTATTTTTCATATTTTATTATTAGTGCGGCACTGCAGCTGCTTAATCACCAACATAAGCGTCATTTTTTGTAGCCAACTTAACTAATTAGTAATAAAGATCCTTTCTGCCCTACAAAATAAAGTCATTGGTAAATATTTTTATGTTTAACAAAAATATATATCATTAAAAAAATTAATAAACTACAAAAGTTTGCCTAGGATAAGTTATCTTTTAATAAAAAAGAGAGAATTCGTTGATTTCTTTGTTTTTTTTTTTGGTGTGTGGATGAATCCCATTATTTTGTTTTCCAAATGAAGGAAAGTAATACTTCTACGTATCTGGCTTTTAATTAATTTGCTGCTGTGTTTGTGTATTAAGTCATGTGTCTCGATCGTCTCAATATTAATAACTGTTACCTGTCTCGGCTTATTTATGTAATATATAAACAATAAATATAGGCCATGAGGTCTCGCTTTTGTTGGCGTACTATCATGCGTGTTACTTAATCTATAATTTGCTATAATTTTATATCTCCGTCTCAGAGCCTCATCTATAGACTCTTTCTTTCTCCATTTTCATGTTATTAGTTTTGTTTTGTTTAAGGAAATTGCAAAAATTGAAAAATAATAAGAAAGAAACAAACATAACCACATTCCTTCGCCTTCACCCCGTAGACAACAAGAGGGCGAGCATGTCTTTCGAAATTTCTCATATTTCTCATCAATTAAACTGTAGTTAAATTATGATGATAATGCTTCGAAAAGTTCATAAAATTAAACATAATTCTTTTAAAATAATAGAACACGATAATTAATTACCTATCATATTATCATAAAAATATATTTTTCTTCTTTTTCTTGATAAACCATCACACACGTAGGTTTGAAGCATGTATCATGCTTGTGTCCATGAACTTGGTAAAATCATAATGAGCAGACCAAAAACATTATCGTTCTGAATCTTGAAATTTTGAAGGTAACTCCCCAAAGCAAGGAAGAATATATATAGCAGAAATTGAACAGAAGTACTTAGCTTAAGAGCTAGAGCAGCAGTATCTCTTTTTTTTTTTTTTGGCTTGATGGATAATATTTTTCTAGGTTTAATTTTGACTACAAAAGAGGTCTTATAACTCCCTTGGTCTAGTGTCACCTCTTGACGGATATTATTCTTTTTTGTTTTTCATGTATCATGCTTCTTATTTATTTTTTTAGGCTTTCATTCCCATCGTACAAATCGTATCGCATTTTGGATATTATTCTCGGAGAATCAAGCCTTTGTGCCCGTCAGGTTGTCCCTGTCGTAATAGTTGCAGTCGTCTTCCTCCGCCGTGCCCCACCCACCATTTCCTGCTTTATGATCCATGTCCTCTTTCTTGTTTCCATCATGTGACACGTATATATGCCTTGCATGGAATTTAAATATAGTGAGGTACATATAACATTAAGCATACATTGTTCTAGATGTATGTTGAAAAAATATAATGGCCATAAATGTCAAGTGCTTTTTTCGGCACTATGATAAGCAAATAATAATACTCCTCCGGTTTTTAATATAAGACCTAATTATTGAATTAATTTTTGTCTTAAATAAAAGATCTATTTATTATATTTATTAATTTTTTTAAAAAAGTTACTTTTATGGATACTCCCACAGCCATAATCAAGTAGGAGATGGAAGGATATTAAAAAAAAAGATTATAATATTTTTAAAAAAAATCATATTTTTTATAATTAATTAATTAATCTAACTTTTTTAATAAAAATACGCGTCTGTCCTGGTTTGCTTTTGTCTCCTTCCGGGTTTTTGGGGCCGGGTTGGACCCATCCTGAGACAAACAGCCATGCCTCTGATGACCACGCATAGCGTTTTTTTTTTTTTTTGATAAAACTAACCATAGCATATCCGTTTTCAGAGAACATTCAAAAAAAAGAAAGCTACCAATAAGGATTGGTCTAAGTGGTAAGCGGCTTGGAACCGCTTAAGCGAGGTCTCGAGTTCGAGCCTCAGCGTATGCAGAAATCCCCGTTGGGAGACTCACCCACCACAGCCAGGTGCGCGATGCGGGTCAGATCCAGATGTAGTCGGAATAAAGCTCCGGTTAACTGGGTGCGCAACAAAAAAAAAAGAAAGCTCCAAGTGGAAGTGCGGAACACGTGGTGGAAGACGACAAATAAGGATTATATATCTGTGATGACTGATGATCCACAGGCTCTACTCTCGTCGGTTCCTTAATTTCTTTTTTTTTTAATAGGAGCCCAATTCTAGTGCGAGTATGAAAATGCCAATTTACATCATCCTTTTCAGGTTGATCATAAAAATGCTACATAAACATGGGAAACTAATAATGGGAGGAACACAAGAAAGTTAAAGCCTTGTTTGATATTATGATTGAAATCACTTATAAGCACATTTTATATAAGTAAAGATAAAATTTTTTTCATATACTTATCTCGCATTCTATAAATCATGATTGAAAAGTTACTTGTAACGCATTTTAAACAGGTCCTAAATCTATAATTGCTCTAAAAACATCATATACACTTAAGAAGATAACATGATAAGCACTAAACTAATAGGATAAGCCAACCAAAGTTTCCCGAGAGAAATTAAGAAGGAAAAATTACAATCAAGTCCCACAGAAGAGAAATAATTATCAAAAAGTCATAATAACAACCTCAACAGTCTATAATGACAAGTCTTACAATGAGAATGACAATTTGTGAGACTTGTTTTTTAATTATTTCTCTTGTTTGGGACCTCATTGTAATTCTCTCAATTAAGAATAGGGCCCAAGCATGTTGATCCATGGGCTAGTAGGTGCTAGGTGGGGCAGTGCTTAGTAATTTATTTAATGAACTCTAGGGGATTGAATATTTGGATTCTTTGAATCGGTCCAGTACTTTTCAGACCAGTTTATGACCCCGTATAAAAACAAGTGTTTTTAACTAATTGGCATTTTTGGTCCCGCTTAACTAATTGGCATTAAAGATC